GGAAGCAGGAACTTCTTGCCCTGCGACAGTGTCGGGGAGGCGGGCTCGGGTCCAGACCCCGCGCAGCAGCAGGGGCCACCCGCGCACAAGGCGCTGCAGGGCTGGGAGCGCCCCTGGTGCCGGCGCGCCCTTGGGGCGTCTACTGAGCAGCAGCTCTTGGGGTTCTGGGCGGCCGAGATCGCGGGGCGCCAGGGCGCGGTGGGCGCCGGAGGCGGGGTGCCGCAGTGCAGGGCCGCACCCCAGCTGGGCCGCAGGGAGGTGACGGGGTGGCGGGGGAGGGGGCGCCTCTTACCGGGTAGTATAAATCTCACCTTATCTGGCTCCCGCGCCTCTTCCCTAAATTCAGCTCAGAGCAAAGATGGATCATGTGAGTGGGACTGAGAGGTTTATGGAGCTGAGCTCCCGCGGCTGTAAATCATCGTGCCGTCCTCGCTATAAAGCGCCTGTCCGGCCCTGCGAGGGACAGACGAGAAGCTCGCCGCCCCCCGGCCCCCAGCTCAGAGCGGGCTCCGCGCCCAGCCAGGTGCGTGCGGCGGCCGGAGGGTGGGTGGGAAGCGCGGCTGCTGGACGGGGCGGCCACCTCCGCGCGCCGCCTGCCTCGCTGGGACCCGCGGCCGCTTCCTCTCGCTGCCCAATGCTTCCTCCGCCACCCGCGGCCCCCACCCTCCGTCCCGCAGGGAACCTAAGGCCGGCCCCCTCGCTGAAGGGCACCTGTCTGCTCCTCCCCCGCAGTGACCCCGCCAACCTCCTCCAGCCGCCCCTGCCATGTCGGAGGAACTGGCCTCGGGCCCCAAGGAGAGCCCGCCGGCGCCGCTGGCAGGCCCCCGCGAGGTGTGGAAGAAGGGCGGCCGGCTGCTGTCGGTGCTGCTGGCGGTGAACGTGCTGCTGCTCGCCTGCACGCTCATCAGCGGCGGCGCCTTCAACAAGGTGGCGGTGTACGAGACGGACGTGTTCGCGCTGCTCGTGGCCATGATGCTCCTGGCCGCGCTCTGGGTCGGCTTCTACCTCCTATGCACTGCGCGCTGTCCCGACGCCGTCCCCTACCGCGACTCCCACGCCGGTCCCATCTGGCTCAGAGGTGCGGGGAGGGAGTCCGAGTTGCCCTGGGCTGCGGGGGCAGGACCTGGCCGCTGAGGTTGTGGAGGAATTTGGAGATGGCGAGAAGGCTCCCAGCTGGGCCGCAGGTGGCTGAGGGTGAAGTAAGCTGCTGTAGAGGGAGAGGAGGAAGGAAAGGGGCAGAGGGAGGTGTAGACGGGAAAGGATTTGTCCTAAAGGTTAGAAAAGGGCCGACCCGGGAGAGCCCTGGATGGCGCACAGCGGGCAGGTGACAGCCAGAGCTCACAGACCCATGTGGGCCCTACCCCTGACCTGAGCCCCCAGAGAGCCTTCACAGGACATCTCTCCGCCCACCCACTCCTCCTTCATCCCGCCCCCTGCCTGCCCAGCTGCCCAGTGGTTTGGGCGGTCCACTCCCAGATCTCCTCTCCTGCCCTCTGATCGCCCCCCTCTTCCCAGGCGGGCTGGTGCTGTTTGGGATCTGCACTCTGGTCATGGATGTCTTCAAGACCGGCTACTACTCCAGTTTCTACGAGTGCCTGTCGGTCATCAAGATACTGCACCCGCTCACCCAGGCCGTGTTCGTCATCATCCAGGTGGACAGGCACCCCCTTCTTGGGCCTGGTAGAAAGAAGCCAGTACCTGGCAGGGGGTCCAGAGGCGAGCGCTCCACCCCCTCGCCCTGAGCAGCCCAGTGGCGAGGGAACGGTGGTGGGGATCACATGAGTCCATAGTCTGCAAGTACTTGGTAATGAAGTGAGAGTCAAGTCTGAGCTCCTGTCAGGGACTCTGCGATTCTGTTTCAGCCTAAGCAGGGCCAGTAGCTGACACCCGGGAGGTGTGAGTTGTGGCAGGCGTCCTGTCTCCTAGAACCTGGCCTGCCCTTCCCAGGTGCCCCCAGAGGACACCCGTCTCTACACTGGGCCTGCTGGGCTGGCTGGTTTGCCTCGGCGTGGCCCTCTGTTCCATATTTGTTCAGGAGCCAGGTAGCCCGCACACTCAGCTAGACAGGTGTACGTTAGTTGCACACATGACTTCGATCGGTCTTCGGAATGAGCCAAGGCTGGGAAGACCCTCTCCCCGGGGCCGACAACAGACCTCAGCCTGGGCCCGTGACCGTGAGCCCACATGTAAGCCCGGGTCCCCCCGGAACACTGGTCCCCCCTGCTGCCCAGGTCTCCACAACTCGGTGCACGCAGGACTTGGGCACGTATCACGGTTCATCTTTCATTTTACGGTTCGAAGGTTCCTTAAGAAAGTACAGACCCCGCACTGGCAAAGGCCACAGCAGGGGTGTGTGGCAGCGGGTGAGGGCGAGGCCCTGTGGGCAGCAGGGGTGAGCTGGGGCGCGGGTGGGGAGGGAGGTACCACAGAGGTGAGGCACCCTGGAGGTGCGTCACTGGTAGTCAAAACTCCCTTGACCTTCCTGCAAAAAATGCACAAACATTAAGGCCAGAGTTGTACAGCAGACACGTGGCAAACTCTTAAAGAGCAGAGAACCACTACTCTGTATAAGCTGTCCAGGGAACAGAGCGCCCACTTCACTGTGTAACGCTGAGGTAGACAGAACTGGCGCGGGGGCTCTGGGTGGAGGATGCGGCGCTGACCGGCCCCGGGCTCACCTGTGGCGTCGCCCTCACCTCCGGCTCTGCACGCAGACCTACTTCCTCTGGGTCTCGGCGAAGGACTGCACCCACGTGCACCTGGATCTGACCCGGTGAGTGCCCGCTCCACCGCTCAGGGCCCTGCCGGGCAGGACTGGCACTGCCAGCCTGCCTGAGGCGCGGGTTGGGGGGCTCCCCGCTGTGGGGTGTGGTGGGGGTCCGACAGCCCCTGGCTTTATTGGGCTGTTTTCTACCATGCTGGGGGGGGGCTGTGAGTGTTGAGTGTGCCTGCCTGCGTGTGCTGCGGCGGGTGACAGGCAGCGCACTCTATGTCCGTCGCCCGGGAAGGGAGCGGAGGCCTGGGGCCCTGGCCCTCCCTCGGGTGGCTCCCGGCCAGGCGTGTTGCTCCTTCCCACGCGAGGGCCAGCTCGGCGCCTTGCGTGTCAGCACCACCCCTGGCATAGCTCCCAACCCCAGCCGGCCCGGACCCCAGGAGACTGAGACCCCCAACTGGCCTCTCGCCCCTCCCCCACAGGTGCGGCCTCATGTTCACACTCACCACCAACCTGGCCATCTGGATGGCAGCCGTGGTGGACGAGTCCCTGCACCAGGCCAACTCCTACAGCAGCTCTCACGGCAACGCCAGCCACACGCGCCTCGTTCCCAACCGTGAGTCGCCACTTCCATGGGCGCCCCCTCCCCCGCTGCCGCTGCCCGGTGGCCAGGCCTGGGGAGCTGGAGCAAAGGTGGATGCCTCCTGCTCTGGGCTCTGCCTCTGAGGCACAGGTGTGGGTCACCAGGAGGGGAGCCTTGGAGGCACCTTCTCACCCTTAGCCCTGGCCCCCCTGTCCAGGAGTCCATTCCACCAGGGAAGGGACTCGGTGCCAGGGCAGAGGGCCAGCGTGACCTGGCGGAAGAGAGGGGGAGGGAGGCCGACGGCTCCATGGTGGCACCCAGGGCCAGATGGGAGTCTGGCACAGAGGAGGCAGAAATAGTCACCGCAATGACAAGAGTGGCCATCCGCTGAGCTTTGCGTGTCGGGGCACTGGCTGCGTGTCCTGGGCCCCCCAGCTTCCCGGGAGGCAGGGGCTGTCCGTTCCCTACCGACAGGTGAAACGCTAGGGCACAGAAAGCGGCTTTCTCAAGGCCAGAGTTTGCAACTGGAGGGGCCCAGCTCTGCTAAGGGGTGCCTGGCCCCCTGGGCCGAGTTCTCGGACTTCTCTAGGGCCCCCACTAGCCAGCACCAGATTAGATGATAAGTCTGTGGCGACCTCACCGGAACACACCCCCCCCCAGCACAGAGTTTCCCAGCCCTCAGGAAGGCCCCGGCCCTGCAATTCAGAGGGCCAGGTCGTGGGGGTGGGGGCAGCTTCCTGAAGGAAGCACCAGCTAGTGTTTACTGGCGGGTCCCTGGGTCTCTGACACTTAGTAGGTGCTCAGTAGATCCCTGGGGAGGGAATGACGGTGCCAGGCCCCACGCGGGCATTTGGGAGCCAGCGGTGAAGGCAGGAGGCAGTGACCCTGGGTCGCCCCGAGGTCACGATCTAGGGGTGAGCATCTGCAGACGGGGTGCTCCCGGAAGGTGGGAGGGCGGTGCCGCTCAGTGCCCCTCTCTCCCCAGTGGAGCGAGCGGGCGGCACGGCGGAGGGGGACTGTCCCTGCAGCACGGCCGTCTGCCAGATCTTCCAGCAGGGCTACTTCTACCTCTACCCCTTCAACATCGAGTACAGCCTCTTTGCCTCCACCATGCTCTACGTCATGTGGAAGAACGTGGGCAGGCTGCTGGCCCCCTCCAGCCACGGCCACGGCCACACCCCGTCCCGGGGCAGCCTCTTCCGGGACACCTTTTTCGCCGGCCCCGTGCTGGGCCTGATTCTCTTCGTGGTGGGCTTGGCCGTCTTCATCATCTACGAGGTCCAGGTGAGTGGCGACGGAAGCCACACCCAGCAGGCGCTGGTCACCTACTACAGCTTCAACATCGTCTGCCTGGGGCTCATGACCTTGGTCAGCCTCAGTGGCTCTGTCATCTACCGCTTTGACCGCCGGGCCATGGACCACCACAAGAACCCCACGCGCACGCTGGACGTGGCCCTGCTGATGGGCGCCGCCCTGGGCCAGTACGCCATCTCCTACTACTCCATCGTGGCCGTGGTGGTGGGCACGCCCCAGGACCTGCTGGCCGGGCTCAACCTCGCCCACGCTCTGCTCATGATCGCCCAGCACACCTTCCAGAACGTGTTCATCATCGAGAGCCTTCACCGGGGCCCACCGGTGGCCGAGCCTCGGGACACGCCCCCCAAGGATTCCTGCCACGGCCTGACCTTCGCCAACCCGGATGCGCTGCAGGCCTTGCCCGCCTGCCCGGCCACCCCGGAGCTGGTGGCCCCCAGCCACACGGCCCCTCAGGAAGCAGTGGCCGCCATGCCGGCGCCCAAGAGCCACTGGAGACGCCGGTGCCTGAAGGACATTTCTCTGTTTCTCCTGCTCTGCAACATCATCGTGAGTAGCCGGGCGCCCTGGGGGGAGAGGCAGAGGAAGGGCGCCCTCGGGCTCGTGGGCCTGGCCTGGCCTGGCCCTCAGTCTGTTGGAGAATGGCGTGGCTCTCTAGGAAAGGAGCAGAGAGGATAGGGTGCAGCCTCCAGGCAAACAGCATCTCAGGGCGCCCAGAGAATGAAATCCAGGTAGCAGGAGGAGTCCCAGGGGCGTTGGGGGAGGCTGGGAGGAGGTGAGAGGGAGCTGTGAGTGCTGACTCCGGGAGGTGTGACAGCTCTGGGAACTTGTGACCAGCCCACTTCTTAGGGTAAGTGGAGCAGCGTCAGGAAGTAGCGGGGAGCAGAGCAGCGGAAGTGTGAGCCGTCTGTTGGGGGGGCAGGGGGCGAGGTGGGGGGCAGCGCACCAGACTCCCACACCCCGGGACGCAGCCAAGCAAAACACGCCCAGATGGAAAGGCTCTTCATGAAGGTGCACCCCAATAGAGAACACTCGCCCACCGGCAAGCGGCCAGCTAGGGACCCTCCCCAGCAGGGAAAGCTAACGCAGGCGCATGTGTCGGCGAGTGTGTCCCAGGGCACAACCAGGATGTTTCACAAGATGTACAAGCGCCATTTGCTGTGACCTCTGGTAGGAAAACACCCCTACTACGCGTGACGGCACTGTGGGCGCGTCCTCCTGCACCCCGTGTGCAACCGGCCAGCAGCCCCCTCTGAGTAGGGTGAAAGCAGCCCGTCCTCTAGGTGACCCGTGACGTGGCCGCCAGCTCTGACGCGGAGCAGAAGCCCTGAGCTTCAGACCTCCTGCCTGGGTGACCCGCCCTTGCCCCACCTCTGCCCCCCTTCACTGAGGCTCCGCCCACAAGCTGGGGCTCTCCTGGGGGACCGTTTCTGCTCCATGTATCTGGTCCAGCATCAAATCCCAGGGCATCATCTCAGACCCCATTTTATTTTTTTATTGTTTTCAAATTTTAATTTTTGACTTTTTTTAAGATTTATTTATTTATTCATATAGAACTGGGGTACAGGCCAGAGATGCGAAGGGTGAGAGGATTCACCAGAGACAGAGTGGGGAGCAGGAACAGGCAGACTGTCAAAGTACACTGCTGAGGGGAGCAGCCGGGAGACAGGAGAGGTCTGCTGAGCCCTGCGGGTCAGCCCCTGGCTGGGATTGAACTCGTGCTGCAGGGGCTGCAGACCGCTTCTTGGTGCTGCACTTTAACCTGTTGTTAAAGTGCCACCAGGGAGGCCCTCAGATCCCCTTTTAAAGGACAGAAATCCCTGGGGTTTGGGGGGGTGAGATACCCACAGACGATGCCCACGGGGCAGGTGGGGCTGGCCTGGAGGCCTCTGTCTTTGCCTGGCCCACACCTGCGTCTGGGCTGAGCTGAAGCAAGCGTTCAGCGTCGGTCTTCTCCCACACCTGGGAAGAGGCAGAGGTAGGGAGCAGAGCTCAGAGGGGCCTTCCAGCTAGACCCCAGCACCCCCCCCCGGGCCTGCCCCCAACTCACAGCTCCAGGGCAGCTCATTTGTACCAAATCCTCACATCACTTGCTCAAAACCCCGCTCCCCTCCTCCACCCACGAGTGGCCACGCCGGGTGAGGGCGAGGTCACTGTGCAGGCCGGGGTCGGGCGGGGTCAGCGGGAGCCTGTCCTGAGTTCCTCCGTGAGTGCCAGTGCTGCTCAGCAGCACCCGCCTCTGCCAGCGCCACCCAGCCAGGCCCTGACGCCCCGTCTCCCCGCACAGCTGTGGGTCATGCCCGCCTTCGGGGCCCGGCCTCACTTCAGCAACACGGTGGAGGTGGACTTCTACGGCTACTCCCTGTGGGCGGCCATCGTCAACATCTGCCTGCCCTTCGGCATCTTCTACCGCATGCACGCTGTCTCCAGCCTGCTGGAGGTCTACGTGCTGTCCTGAAGCCCAGCCCGCACCCGCCGGCGCTCGGCTCCCCGCCGCCCGGGCGCCCGGGCGCCCAGCCTGGCAGTCCCGCTGCCTGTCACCGCGCCCTGCAGAGTGGGGTGTTCACAAAAGTTATTTTTCCAGGATGAGTTTTTAAATCACAGTCAGGACCTGCCCATCCAGCCCAGCGTGACCTCAGCCGCGCAGGGACGCGAGGGTGGGACAGGAGGCTTCTCCCTGCTGCCCTGCTGGGACCAGGGGTGATCTGGACGTGTCTCAACGTGGGCTCCAGCTCGAACCCCAGCCCTGCGGCCTGGCCGGTGTCCTTCCTGGGGCTGGGACCCAATAAACCTGCAGCTGTCCTCCCGACACTGCTTCTTGTCTCCGTCGCCTATCTGAGATGCTCACAGAAGATCTTGGGGATCAGAGCTGGAAGGGCTCCTGGGAATTTTGGAGGTTCAAGCTTCTGAGGGATGAGCCAAGTGTGAGTTATGAACTAGCTTAAAGTGGGTGCTTAGGTGACGCCTCTTCCTTTTATCTGCAAGTGACACTGAATTATTTTATGGATTCCATGATGCACAAGAGATTAGGAGGGTCTGACAGACCAACTGCCATTTTACATTGAAGGAAACTGAGGCCCAGAGAGGTAAAGCGACTTGCCCAAGGTCACACAGCAGAGCGCCAGAGCCTTCCTGCTAAGAGTAACAATTTGCAAGCAGCAGAATTTTCCCCCCTCAAATAAAACAGTTCAAGCATCAAAGATATTTAGCTTAAGAGGAGTTGGAGGCTGTAAATCTCCCTGACTTCCTCTTACCTACCACACCCCTGCCCCCGAGGGTCCTAACCTCTCTGGAGCATCCCCGAAACCACCCCGTTCACAGGAGAGACGGGAGAAAGGCAGGCCACCGGACAGGTGCGAACCGGGAGCTTGCAAGGCTTCGTCTTGGGTGTCTGGAAGACAAACAGCATCCCGTCGGCCCCCGCCAAAGCTCACATGTCCCCATGGAGGCCTTTCCTGGGTTTAGTCACTCGCTGCCCAGGAGTCCCAGCAACGTATTTTACCCAGCGCCATGTCCTCCCTCGGGCTGTCCTGGAGCAGGGAGGGCCAGCAAGCCCATTGCCCAAGGTCAGGGTGGGGTGAGGAGCCACAGGAGCCGGGAACCCCTCTACCTAGGGGTCTCTGGGCAGGCGGGTTTCCAAATCCCAGAACGGGGCAAGGCGGGGCTCGCAGGCAGGGGTGGGTGCGAGGAGATGGCATCTCACAGGAGAACCCTGGCTGGGGGGAGCGCAGGGAACCTGAGCAGAGGTACCCCAGCCCTCCTGAAAAGGCGGCAGTGGGGCAGGAGCTCTGGGTGGGTAAGGGGAGAAAGAGGGGGTCACTTCCAGGCCTGTTCACCTCCCCCACGATGGCAATGGGGTCTTTTCTGACCCCTGAGGGAGAGAGAGGTTGCCAGCCACGCGTGGTGGGAGCTTGCTTAGAAGGCTGGAGGGAAGTGGGGTTCAGGAACTGTCATTCCCTGTTTGGGGGGCCGGGGGTGTCCATTCCCTGCTTGGCCACCAAAGTGCGGGCTGAATCCCCACAGCACCTCTATGGCGGCCCAAGGACGTGGCGCCCCGCCCCACCCACCCTGAGGCCGGCCCAGGTCCGCTGAACCCAGGGACTGTGCCCGCGCCTCCTCAGGCCCCGCCCCCGCGTCCAGTCGCCTCGCCATTGGCTGCGCTGTGCTCGCCGGCCCGGCGAGGTAATTAACGAAGGATTAATGAGGTCCCTAAAGTCAACAGAAAAATCGATGGGCTGTGGAGCCCGGGCAGCGGCTGCGCAATCCCACGGGGGCGGGCGTCGGGGGCGGGCGTCGGGGCGTCAGTCTGCGGGGACCTCACCTGGACGCATCGGCTGCGCTCCCTCGCAGCCTGTGGCAACCCGCGATGCTTGCCCAGACCTCAGGTACGGCTCCCTGGCTAGCACCCACCGCCAGAACTGGGGCTGGGGCCAGGGCTGCGGGGTTGGGGCGGGAGGCTGCGCTCTCCTGAAGGCGCCAATCTCTGGGCCCCGTGCTGGCCCCTCGCTGCCCTCTACCCCCACCCCGCTCTGTGCCTCACTTCTTTTCCGGAAAATGGGGGTGTACAGAGACCAGCAGGGTGCTCACAGCCTAAAGGGGGCGCCAAGGCCAGGAAGAAGCTGAGAAACCCAGACGGCTGGGAAAGCGTGCGGAGCTGGGGCTGCCAGGCGCTGCCGGCAGGGCAGCAGGCCGCCAGGCCTTGCAGTGGCCAGAGTGGAGGCCTCGCAGTGGCCCCCCACATGCCTGGCTTTCATCACCTGCTGCTACCCTCGACCCACAAACTAATCTGGCGCCCTTGCCCTCCCATGGGCTGGCATAGCACCAAAGGGCGTGCCAGCGGGCCGCGGGTTCCTTCCTGTGGGTTTCTGGTACCCTTGCTCTCTTCCAGGGACCCCTACCGCCCCACCCCAGCCCTCCCCAGCCCTTTCCTGAATTCTCTCTTTGGGCCGGCAGCGGGTTGCCCCTCCCAGGCTGGGGGAGGGCAGGAAAGGCAGGGGAGAACTCTGAAGGAGAGGACCCTCAACCTAGACCCCACTGGACCTGCAATCTAAGCAAAATCCTCCCCCTGAAATTCATCAGTAAGCTTGACCCTTCCAGCTTCTCCAGGAGCTCACAGAAACTAATAGAGGAGTAGCTGACTCTGAGCGCTCTCTGTAGGCCAGGCAGCGTGTGTGTGCATTTACACGTATTAAATGATTGATTTTGGCAAGACCCTAGAAGACACATATTAAGCATTAATTCCTTCATTTATTTGTTCAAGAGATCTTTATGGAGCACCTACTACCTGCTGGTGCATCTCCATTTAACAGACGAAACTGAGAAAGCTTTAAGTCACATTCCGGTTTGTAACCTGTAAGTGCCCGAGTCTGGGCTCTTAATCATTAGGCTCTCCCACCACAGAAGGGGGTGAGAGTGGGGGGTTACTGGAAGGTGAGGTGGAGCCCTCTGGGTTGGGAGGAAAGACCCAGGGAGGTGTCCCTGGGAAGTCAGGCTTGCTCAGCCTGGGCGGGAGAGCCAGGGAGGAAAGATAAAGATCTGGAGTCTCCTTCTGCCGGGCCAGGGTGGAAAGGGTCCTTGGGAAGGGTCTCTGTCCAGGCGCTGGTGCTGAAAGCTCGCCCCAAAGACGCCAGAGGGAAGTGCTGGCTGCTTGCCGTGCCTGGGCCAGGTCTGGTTAGGCAGTGCTGGTCTCTGCTGTGGAGTAGCTCCTGGCCTTGAGGGGAGCCAGCCACGCCCACAACACCTCAGCAGACAGTGCACACCCCCTCTCCACGAAGGGGAGTGTCCCCAACAAGTAGCCTCCAGCATGCTTGCGCAGAGAGACGCCTTCCTGGGAAAGTCTCTCAGGGTGGGTGGAGAAGATGGGTGAGAGCCATTGGTGAAGGGTTTGGGGTGCGGCAGAAGGCCGGGTGGGCCCACGCAGGGGTGAGGCCAAGGACACGTGAGAAACGTGGGCTTCTCTGGCTGATCCCGGTGGAGTGTGCAAGGGAGCCGGAAGGAAGGGGCAGAGCTGGAGCAAGGGCGGCTGAGACGGGGAGAAGCCCGTGCGCCTCTCCTGGATGCCCGTTGTGCCGTCAGGTCCACCCCAGAGAGCAGGAGTGAGCAGGCCGGTCATGGGGAATGGGCACCTGGACGTGCGGCGTATTCGAGGCTCTTCCAGTGGACAGTCTGAAGCTTCTGCCGCTCAGAGGCCAAAGGGAGGGACGAGCAGGACCAGCTCATTAAAACGCAGCCTGAGGACGGTGCTGAGGCCACAGAGGGGCGCTGGGCCAGCTGGGCTGGGGGCTATGGGCCCGAGAGGAGGCGGGCTCTGCTGAGCCCCGAGGGACAAGCTGCAGTCAGCAGGCTCCAGGGGGCGAGCACTATGGCCAGGGGAGGCGCGGGCGTAGGCAGGGAGGCGGCCGAGAGTCAGGGCGTCTGAAGCTGCCGAGGAGTGGCGTGGCCGTGAGGGCGAGAGGAGGGCTGGACACAGGGCTGGAGAAGCCGCCTGGCCGGGCCGGGAAGCGGCGGAGGGCGCCCTGCCTTGGGCACCGCGTGGCCCCAGCCCACAGCGAACGTTGCAGCCTCGTTCATGCTGAGAGGCCTTGCTAGGGGGTTCGGACTTCATACCGAGGGCACCTGTGGCCTTCGCGGGACACTCAGGAGAGAGCGCCAGTGGGCAGGGTGGCCGGTCCGGGAGGGAGGCCTGCACCAGGGCAGTGTTGGAGGTGGAGGGCAGTGAACTGGAGTGGACACTCGGGGTCTGAGGCGATGGGGGTGAAGGGAGGGGCAAGGAGGACACCCCGTTCCCTGCCGGGTGCTGTGGGGAGGAGACACCACTCGCTGATGCAGCGACCTTGGGAGCCGGAGAGACAGCGAGCCGGGGAGCCGGAGACAGCGAGCCGGGCAGCCGGAGACAGCGAGCCGGGCAGCCGGAGCCAGGGCAGCTGCGGGACCCAGGGCAGCGCCCGGTGGCAGGGAGCCGAGGAGGGGCCCCAGGGAGGCCCGGGCCAGCCCCTGCCCCCTAGTCGGGCAGCCCCACAGCAGTAGCACAGCAGCAGAGGGTCGCCCCTCGGCCGGGGCCTAGGCTAGCCCCTGGGTGTGGGGTGACCCAAGATCTGGGTCCAAGAGCGGGTGACAAAGCTGTTGGCGGGAATGAGGGCTTAGAGGAGGTGAGGCAGCGAGGGAGAGAGGAGGGTCAGGCTGGCTTTCCCAGGGGGTGCTGGGCATTCTCGGGACACCAGGAGTCGGGGCGGCGGGGTGCCGGTGGACGTCGTCTGGCACGGTCGGGGGCAAACATGCTGCCGCCAGGCTGGCCCGTGCTGGTGGCAGACACGGCGTGTCCAGCCCAGAACCTTCCCCTTCAGCCTTCAATGTTCTTTAAAGTTAATTTTAATGACACGAGTAATGCATTTTTAAGAAATGAGAACAACGAACCACTTCCAATCTTGATACTGACTTCTTTCCCCGGAAGATGCTCCTCTTGTGAACCGGGGGGGGCTTTTCTAGACCTCTTCAGATAACCATCTGGGCACCCCTCTTTCCCCGTAAGAGAATATTGCTTCAGCCCTGGCTCTGTTCCCTCCAAGTCCACATTCAGCCTCCACGCACCGACCAGTCGCCACCCAGCTAGCCAGAGTAAGACCAAGAGAGGCGTCTGCTCGCCCCCCCCCGACTCAGAAGTGAAATTCCCCCCCGGAGCTGGCTGCTTTTTGGTGGCAATAAGTCCCAACCCTGGAGACCATCTGGTCGCCAAATAAAAACACACAGGTGGACACGGTCAGACTGTCACCCAGCTGCAGGGCAGGCAGGGAGCAGCAAGTGG